CCTGGAGGAGTCCACCGTTCCTTTCGGGCATTTGGTAGCTTTCAGGGAGAAGTGATGGTTGATGTAGCTCACATCAAATCCAGGCTGATGGAGGAGAGAACGACTTTTAGTTACTTTCATCAACCGTTTGGAACATTTGTTCAATTCCATGAAGATTTAGCCGACAATAACCCTCTTTCTGTTATGAGAAATATCACGTCTAAAGATAAATAACGAGAGAAATGAAACACATTGCTGAGAGAAACATGACTGCAAATGAATTAACGCTAAAAAAATGCAACAGCAACAAAAACAAGTTGCAAAAAATGCTGGCAAAAAGCCAGAAGTAGCAGAATGCCAGCCAAAAGTGAGACGATAGCAAAAGGCTGGCTAACAGTAGCAAAACTCTAGCTAAAGCTAAATGTAGCAAAAGGGTATGAACATGTGGAAGTAGCAAGAGCCTAGCTAAAGTTAAAAAAAAAACAGCAAAAGGTGAGCCAAAAGTATCAAAAGCTTAGAGAATAGCTAAAAGAAACTTGAAGTAACAAAAACAAAAAACTTAAATTATCAAAATGCTAGCTAAATGTTGAAAAATATTTGATAAAGCCGTCAAAAGACTAGCTAGAAGCTAAAATCAAAAGGATGGCTAAAAGCTAAAAGTAGCAAAAGGTTAGATATAGGTGTCATAGGGTAGTTAGAAGCTAAAATCAAAAGGATGGCTAAAAGCTAAAAGTAGCAAAAGGCTAGCTAGAAACTAAACGTGGCAAAAGGTTAGATAATAGGTGTCAAAAGACTAGCTAGATGCTAAATTAAAAGGATGGCTGAAAGCTAAATTTAGCAAAAGGCAGCTAGAAGCTAAAATCAAAAGGATGGCTGAAAGCTAAAAGTAGCAAAAGGCTAGATATAGGTGTCATAGGGTAGCTAGAAGCTAAAATCAAAAGAATGGCTAAAAGCTAAAAGTAGCAAAAGGTTAGATTAAAGGGTGTCAAAAGGCTAGCTAGATGCTAAAATTAAAAGGATGGCTGAAAGCTAAATGTAGCAACAGGCTAGGTGACATAAGGAGCCAAAAATTGAGAAAAAGTTATCCAGGTAACATTGAACTGATTGTTTTATAAATGACTACAACAGTACAAAGAGAAAGGTACTAAAATTTACACTAAAAGCAGAATTTGTGCTGAATTGTACCTCGAGTGCAGACTTCTTGACACTCTCAAAGAACATAAAGTGGAGCTGGATGCCAGGGTGGGAGTTGACCTTTTCCAGGGCCAAATCCACTCCTTTCTTGTAYTTTTCAGGCAGTTTGTCATATTCTGTCAGAGCGTCAGAAGAAAAGAGCAAAGCTCCGGCACTGAGGAGCCACAGCAGCACAGCAGCCATCGTTCCTTGTGTGTCTGTATCTGAGGGTCCACCCACGTTCTGCTGAGTTCCTGAACACAGAGAACATCCAGCCCTCTTTTACTGGAGGAAAACAAACCGTTACAAGTTGGATCACGCCTTGATGTGGATCCAGTGACAGAGATTCTGCTGGAAGGAAAGAAAAACATCATTCTGAAAACAAATAAATAAATAAAAATGTGGCCACTACTGGTTTTTGTCCTGTTAGCAAAATATATGAACTACTAAACGGATCATGTTGGAAAAAATGTCCTGTTGTATGCCATTTTCAATAGAAAAAGCATTTTTGACTTTTCATTGATTTGATTTATTTTAATTTGCTTTATGTAAAGTTGAAATAACAAGAAATTATTAGTTTAAGGCTTCTTTACTTGTTAAGAACCTCATGTTCAGCTGAATTAGAAACAAAACAAAAAAACAAGGGGTGGGGTGTATTTGAGCTTTATAATAAGTCATACCCTTATCAAAAACATACCCAGAGTTGCTTTGACTCAAAGCTGTTTCCAAGAATCTCCTCTGGTAGCCATGTGGAGCTGAATGAACTCTTGCTGGTACAAAGTAGGGGTGTAACAATACATTGATCCACATCGATATATTGATTAAATGATTGATTCAATTACATAGAGCCAAAAAAACATAAATAAATGAAAAATATCAATCTATACCATGTTCAATGTGGATCTATGTCATGTCTAACAGTCATTTGTGACATTGCATTATATCAATCGCAGACTTCCGTCCATTCATCCGTTTTCTTCCACTTATCTGGGGTCAGGTCTCGGGGGCAGCAGCCTAAGCAGAGAGACCCAGACTTCCCTCTCCCCAGCCACCTGGGCCAGCTCCTCTGGGGGGATCCCAAGGTGTTCCCAGGCCAGCTGAGAAACATAGTCCCTCCAGCATGTCCTGGGTCTTCCTCTGGGTCTCCTCCCAGTGGGACGTGCCCGGAACACCTCACCAGGGAGGCGTCCAGGAGGCATCCTAACCAGATGAGCCACCTCAACTGGCTCCTCTCGACGTGGAGGAGCAGCGGCTCTACTCTGAGTCCCTCCCGGATGACTGAGATTCTCACCCTGTCTCTAAAGGAGAGCCCAGCCACCCTGCAGAGGAAACCCATTTTGACCGCTTGTATCCGCGATCTCGTTCTTTTAGTCAGTACTCAAAGCTCGTGACCATAGATGAGGGTAGGAACGTAGACCGACTGGTAGAGAGAGAGCTTCACCTTCTGGCTCAGCTCCCGTTTCACCACGACAGACCGGTACAACACCCGCATCACTGCAGACACAGCACCAATCCGCCTGTCGATCTCCCGCTCCATTCCTCCCTCATTCGTAAACAAGTCCCTGAGATACTTAAACTCCTCCACTTGGGGCAGAACCTCCTCCCTGACCCGGAGAAGGCACCCTACCCTTTTCTGTCTCAAGGCCATGGTCTCAGATTTAGAGGCACTGATCCTCATCCCGGCTGCAAACCGCTCCAGTGAGAGCTGGAGATCATGATCTGATGAAGCCAATAGGACCACATCATCCACAAAAAGCAGAGATGTGATCCTATGGTCACCAAAAAGGATCCCCTCAACACCTTGGCTGCATAGAAATTCTGTCCATAAAAGTTATGAACAGAATCAGTGACAAAGGGCAACCTTGGAAGACAATCACAGACTTGTGAAAGGAAGTCGTATCGTGACAGACTGTGATATTGAGAAACATTGTATGTCGTTCAAACAAATATATTATGTTGTGATTAATCTGCTGCTTTACACCCCTGCTACAAAGCACCACCTGTTTGTACAAAGCTCCTCCCTGGAGCTCAGTCTGCAGCTAAGGTCCAGCTCCAGCCTCTTTCAAAGAATTGTTGTAAAGATGTGCAGAACTGGGAGTGTCAGAAATGGTAGGAGGTTCTTAAAGAGATGGGACAATTTCAAAGCAAATGCAAACCAAATTTGATTTTTTTCCCCCCCAATGCAACTCACATCAGATTTTTTAAAACCTGACCCATCGTGGCTTTTCTACAGAAYCTGATGGTTTTCCTCGTGTATTATCCAATAAAAAAGGAGACGGCCTGGTCCCCTCAGCTGGTCACTGATCTGATGAAGTTTACAACATTACACAGGCTGAAATTGCAGTTTGTGTCGTACAGATAACTTTATCAGCTCTCGACTTTTAAGGAGACGGCTGGCCCAGCTGCAGCTCAACAGGCGTTTACACCTCAGATCCTGTTATATCAACAGATTCTGTTGATATAAGCYGAGGGGACTGGGCTTACCAAGAGGAAAATCAAAACTCGTTATCTCGGGAAAATCATCGGGAAATCGATTATCTCGAGAAAATGCTCATCATTATTTCATGATTACAAAATATGCCAATTTTCTCATGTTAACATGTCATTATCATGAGGAAACCATGGAAAAAAAAAATCAGAAAACGTCATTCTCTGCTTCCGTGTTTTTCAGTAAATGGTATTGAATCAGATACATATCTGATGGTTTTCAATGCGACTGCAGTCTGAACACTCGTGCCACATTTCATCTGACTTTTATGCCTGAAGTGAGTGAGCAGATTGATCCATATGAAAACTAGATACCGCATAGTGGTAACATAATGACCCCCGCACGCAGAAATGCACCAGAACTCAGAAGTCTTTATTCCTAATAAAGGTCATGGTACTAGGTGTATCCCAAAATTGTAGTGGTTTGGGTGGAGGGCTTTTTTTGGGGGGTGTTGGACCTGATGGATAGCCCCTCATCAGAGCTGAACAAAAGAAATCTGAAGCTCATTTGTTTAATAGTTTTTGAGCTATAACCATTTTTTTGTCTAGATACCACTTTTTCAGATAAATTGGGGGTCCGTGGGAGTGGAGGCACTGATTGGTGGGCCTGATGGATAGAGCTTCTTCAGAGCTAAACAACAAAAGAAATCTGAAGCTCTTATTCTTAATAGGTTTTGAGCTATAACCATACCCCCTTTTCAGATAAATTGGGGGTCCAGGCAGGGTGGTGGGTGGGCACTGATTGGTGGGCCTGATGGATAGAGCTTCATCAGAGCTAAACAACCAAAAAAAATCTTAAGCTCCTATGTTGAACAGTTRCTGAATTATAAGCATTTTTGCATGTCCATACACCCCCACTTTGAAAGGAGCCCCTTCTTCAAATATGGGGTCTATCGTAAAACCGTTGGCTGGCACAGTGAAGATCAGACTCATCTACAGTCCTGACAAATTTCATGTTGATCGGTGCAGCCGTTTTTGTGCTGCGGTTGACCAAAAATCCCTGGAGGAAAAAAAAAACATTACGAAAATGATACTAACCTGTTTAAATCTTGTAGCTCCACGTCTTCAGCAGAAGTCCGTTGTTTTGTCTTTTTATTTTCCATATCCTGGATGACAGAGAATCAACAGAAACACAATAACGTCCAACATCTGTCTCAGACCATATTGATACAAATGTTACTCGATCGTTTCTTTACTTTTAGCACAAAGCTTAATCCAAAAATAAAAAGCTGCACCGGAGGATCCGGTTAGAGGCAGGTTCTAATATAAACATTGAACTAAACAAGCAAGTCAGATAATTAATTAATTGCTACATATTTAATGGTTTTGTATTTGAATGTAAAAAAACAAGACAGACCAGATAAATAGAAAATATACTTTATTTGCATCAATGTGAACCATTGATGCACACAGGAACATCTGAATATCTACTTCGACTTTGTATTGCTTTTGAAATAAACCTACATGATATATTTAGAGATAAACAGTCACGATGATCAAAAACACCGGCTGCACTGAACTACTTCTGTTCTACGAGTACATCCAGGTTGAGTGTTTGCATTACAAAAAAAAGTTAATATTCTTTAAATATGCGTTAACAGCAACATATCTCAACAGATAAATAATTCAGAGATGTTTGATTTGAGTGTAACATCCTAACAAACACACACGTTGCAGCGGGTTACTTTCTTTTCCCCTCTAACAGGCACTTGAGATTTTGTGCAACTTTGACACCAAAAAGGCACAAGATCACAATTTCAGTCGGGCAGGAACGGGGGACAGCTCAGAGGGGAAAGTAGTGTGTGATATTTAGGTTTGTGTGGGTGTAACTGAGGCCTGGAAATGAGACGTTATTTGACACAGTCAAAGCTTTAACCAAGCCATGTTGCACGGTGGCAACATGATGCAAAACTTAATGGAAAAAAAAATAATAAAAATAAAATAAAAATTAAAAACAAACAACAAAAAGCATTTTTTATCTTAAAAGTCTTTCCTTGCAGTGATCCATGAACTACTTAGATTGTCTTCACAGCCCGGGTGGAAATGTTAAACATGATGAAACTATTGGAACTGAAATGTTGATATGATTCAAAAACAAGGTAAAACATGGAATGTCGTACAATAAAAATGTGTTGATTTAGGCTTTGATGACTGAACTGCAGCTTACTGTGCTCACCACAACCTACATTTGGCACGTTAAAAACAACTAATAAATCACAGAATTACCAAGAAACGAACCACATCCAGACTACACCAGAACCTTTAGTGCCCTAAACATGTGTGGAAACATTTAGAGTATATTATCTAAGCTGCAGCATCATTTTCTATTAAACAAGCAGTGATGAAAAAGACAACTTCATGGCGTTAGTATAATGAAACTGCATTTTTATGTACTTCTTTTTGGTGGCTCGTTGTAACAGTCACCCAAGATCTCCCTCTGCTGGTGATCTTGTGTCACTGCAGGCACAGACTTTTAAGGTTAGACATCATTTAAACTGCAGCATCTTTGTCAAAAAACAAAAACAAAAGAACAAAAAACATTAATTGAATAAGGTATAGCAGGCTAAAAATCAATCACAAAACATTTAGGAAGCTAACTAAAGCGTTACCAATACTTAAAGAGAATTAAAAGAACTCTTAAAAAGCTAAAACAATTACATTTATACAGTCATTGTTCAGATTTGGTTTCTTACAAAATGAAAGTGCTACAAGCTTTGTGTTTAAAGTGATTTACGGTCTAAAAAAAGACTGAATGAGGAAAAACACACAGCTCAGTTTATCTCGTTTTCTTCGTAAGGCGCTTAGTGAGCTTTTAAAAAAACTTGACTAGCACTAACTGGACATGTTAAAATAAAGGAATGTATCCTATATCTCCTCCACATATTCAATGTGAATCATAGCAACCTCTCAAGGCTAAAATCAGTTTAGCAAATCTATTTACTGCTACCACATTCGTTTTTGATTTGAGATCACTTCATTAGGTCTGGAATCTCTTGTCCCTTGCAAAGAAAATGTTTAAATAAACAGAAGAAACTAATCTTCACTTTGTTCTGTAAAGCCACTAAAACAGCTGGTAACCAGCAGAAATAAAAACACCTTCAAGAACCACCAGAACACAGTTTAGGTTTTTGACCCGTTGGCTTTGAGATGTTTTGGTGGAGGGCAGTGAGTCGCTGGTTTTCAGAAGCTTTAAACGGGCATGTGCATCTCGGAGTACTCGTCGTGACACTCGCGCTCGTCGAACTTTGGTTCTGCATCGTCTCCGTCCAACTGGGAGAAAGAAACGGGAGTCCAAATTAGAAATATAAAAAAATGGAATAAAAATAATCCAGTTTTATATTTTTGAAGGGAAGTTCAAAAAGAACATCAGTTAAAGAGCAGAATGTGTGGAAAAAGAGGCAAAACTTTTCATCCAGGGTTAGCGTAAAGGCTAGCCAAACGAGCTAGGGTTGAAAACTAATAAKTACTGATAATATCTGATGGAAATTCACTTCAAATATGACCTGACTTTTCTTTTTTSATTCTTTTTATTTTTTCATTTTGTTGCCCTTGTTAAGGTCAAATTGATCTCTAGTGAGAAGGATCACAGATAAATATAAATAAACCTGTTTTTAATTATATATTCAATCTAAAAAACATCTCAAACAAACCATTGTGTGTCACTGAAGGGTGAGAAAGTGATTTAAATCATGTCCTGATGCATCTCAGTAACCCAGGCAGAAAAAAATCAAAAAGAAAAAATAAGCAGGTCCTCTGGATGGGTTCTTCTTTAGTGAAACGTTTCYTCTCTCCTCCAAGAGACTTCTTCAGTTTGATGAGTTTCAGGTGAACTCAGCCTTATAAGCACTGCCTCTACATGGTGGACAAACAGGTTAGTCATGTGCAAAAGAGGGCCATCCAGAGGACCTACTTGTTTTTTCTTTTTGATGATTTACATCATGTTTTGTGTTCACTAAATCTTTTAACACTAAAAATAAGGGAATACTTAAAATTACAAATCATATTTTTATATACTGTGCACTATATTTTTATATAATACATAATAATTTAATATGAAAAAAACTATGATTTAGTGAAGGAGTATTTGTTTTAATAGTTATGTTAAAATGTGTAAAATGTGATGGTGTTTTATTATCTGTACAACGAGTAATGATAAAATGTTGAAAGAACCGTGTGAGAACAGCGTCACCCCTCTGTGGTTAACTTACACACGCCATCTCTCTGGCGTTGAAGATGCGATGCAGCACGAACATCTTGACCGGGACGGTGAGGATGAGGACGAAAGGGAAAGCCAGGGACGCCTGTGTGGACATCACGGCCCACAGGATGGCCAGACACACCACCTGGATGCAGGTGTAGAGATGCATGCGCCACGTCCGAACCTGGAGGACACGAAGACAACGAGCTCATCTAAAGTCCCGCCTCGCTTTGCTTCGTCTGTGGATTCTGTTGCCGCTCCTCTCACCTTGCGGACGTAGGTGTGGTCGGGGTGGTACTTTGGTGGCATGAGGAGCAGCATCATTCGCTCCGTTAGCTGGATGCCGCTGAGCGACATCACGCCCATGTASAGGAAGATGCCAAACAGGACAGCCAGGGGGATCTGACGCAGCAGGTCACCTATCACGATGGACATACCTGAGCAGAACAGACACAAGGAGAACAAGTTATTTAGAAGGTCAACGAGGTCAAACAGAAGAGACGACGTCCTGGCGCCTGACACTCACCGACCATGATGGCCACCAGGAGCCCGGTGACCCTCTGCTCCTTCACCTCCTTGATGCGAGGCTTGTCTCCGGGGGCGACGGCTTTACTCATCACGGTGAGGGCGTTGACGTGGGTGACGGAGCGGACGGTGGCAGCGGCCATCCACGGCAGGCCGAAAAGAGCCGAGCAGCCACCCAGGACCACGATCAGGAGGAGGTCCAGGTGGAAACCAGAACCCTTCACCAACATCCGCTCCTTCTTACTGACGATGAGGCTGAAGGACACAAACAAAGGAACACATCTTTTTACTACATAACATTAAAGGGATCCATGATTAGTTGTAACATTAGACGTTATTTAATAAAACATATTTTAACTGTAAAATAAAGACTGTAAAAATACTGTAGGATGATCAGTTTTTATCATTTTTAAACAAAGTTTAAAAATATATTACACGGACAGGGCCATTTTATTTACACGCAAATCATTCTGGGTAAACGATGACGTGGATAGCTCATCAGTGCGAGGCTGCTAGCGAGCTATATCCACCCTGAAGGTTAATCTTGGACAATATCTGA